ACGTTGGATACGCGTACAGTGAGTATGGTCAGGATTGAATTTCAAGCTTAAGTTTTGATGGTGTATTGGTCCTCCAGTGAATGGAGGAACCAGGGTGAAAAATTTGGAATGTAATTTTTGTACTTTCTTTTTACGGTCAAGATTTCAGAAAAATATATGATTTGTATACTTTAAATCTTTAACAGAAAGTAAATAACGTGACGTTTGAGAAATTTATAGTACGTATTATATATGTTTGACGAATCTCTCTTCAGAATGCATAAAAGGGATGAAATTTTATGAGTTGCCGCTATTGATAACGTATAAATAATATAAATCTACGAAATTATTAAAAATCATTACTTTACTAAATTTATTAAATGTTATTAAAATGTGGCAATATAAGTTTGTACTAAATGAACAGTTTCAGTTTCTTGATCAAAGAGATTAAATTTCATATATTTTGCAAATTTCACTATAAATCATAACTTGGCAATTTAGTCATAACAATTAGCAAATGATTGTGCAAGATGTAGATGTAAAATAGAAAAGAGAATTCACTGAATGACTGTTCAGAATTTATTTATACATACAGAATATAGTCATAGAATCGATGCAGGAATTTATTCAAATAGTCACTCGCTACTTCACACGCTACATTACAGATTGATACAGTAATTTAGTGTGTGCATGGTTTCGAGAAGAAGATAGTCATGAATAATCTATCTTTATAGGATCTTCTTGTATAGGAAGAGTGATTATAGTAATCGGCTATTTAGGGTTCATATGAAGTCGTTTAATGCTAATGATCCATATAATAACGCAAGAATTACAGTTATTTATTGCTGGATGACTAGAAGGAGTTACTATTTTCATCTTATGAAAATATACTGTCAAGAAGAATGACTATAGCCATCTATTACGTAGAATTCATTGTAGATTTACTGTAACAATTTATTGTAATAAGTCTCTGTTATTATGTTATTACGATATTTATCTCATATATAGGGTGTAGAAAAAAATTATGCGTAATAATTATTTCGCTTTAATATTAATATTAGAATCACAGTATTCAAGTCGAAATTTGTTTGTGAACCAAAGAAATCATTTTATCAAAAAGTACAAGTGTATAATGTAAATTAAGATCACTAAAATTTATTATAAAATCTTAATAAGAAATACTTTGACAATTCGAGTACTAAGGATCCACTGTGTATAAAAAGCGAATGTCCTTTGTAGTGAAAGAAAGATTACAGTCATTTATCATTGAACATCATAGGAGAGAAGTAATTATTTTTTTTTTCACGGATCGATCACACAGATCGCTTTTACTAAAGGTAGAGGTTTACTATTTGTGAGAATATAAAAAGATTCTCACTTATCATTTGAGGCTGACTTCACACGAACAAACGTTATCTATCATTGAAGACTTATTACAGGGCAACTATATAGTGGAATATAATTGACCTCGTTATGTACAATGAACAGTTACTTGTAGTTAATAAAGATCTACTTTGTACAAAGAATAATCACAATTACTAGTTTTTTAAGGGTAGTAGTTATTAATTCAACGATTCATGATCAACTTGATTACTTTCAATGAAAAAAATAATAGTAGTAATAGTAGTATTAGTAGTAATAATAATAATAAAAGATATTAGATCTAATTAGTTCTTTTTTTTATATGATATTTTTATGCATTTTATATTTGCATACTACTCAGTGTACACACTACTTTAAATATTTTTGAAATACGCAGTCTAGATATATATTAAATTTCTGAACACTAATTTACATCAATCAAAATATCCGATAACCGATATGCTAGTTTTTATTCTTATTGTTTCTTTAGGCCAACTTAACAAAAACTTAAAACCCAATAATATCCGACAAATATATTATTCAAAATTTAACCGAAATTCTATCAATAATTTAATCACTCCACTTTATCGTTTACTGTATGTCTAAATAATTACGAGAAATCGCATTAAACTTCGATTTCAAACTTTTTTAAAATTCTTATTTCCCGGCTTCCTTCACGTAGTCGAGAAGAAGAAGAAGAAGAAGAAGAAGAAGAAGAAATGGCGTAATTGATGGGAACGGCGCGTCTCGGAAGCGGAACACGACATTAGGTTCGCGTAAACCGCGCGGCCCATCGCGAAAAATCATATTTATTGTGACAACGTTCGTATTGTTATCGAACAGGCCATTCATTACATCTTGCGGGGCTATGATTAATGGTCGGTGCGAAGATAAAATGTGGGTAATTGGGGTCCTAAGTTCAGCGCATGGCGCGGTGATGAATAGTAGAATTCAGCGTAATTTATAGTCGGCTAACACCCTGTCCGCACAATACCCACGATCGTGAAATAATGGGCAAGATCTAGCCCCATAGCGGACGAAGCGCGCGATGCTCCCCGCGAAAAAAATCCCCATGGATCGGGTTGTTTTAAATACAGATTGGCCTTCGTAACAAATGACGACCGGCAGGCACGTAAAACATAAACAAGTCGTAAATCACGCGGACTCGTGAGTCGTCTGTTAGCCATTCCCCGGGTTCGCCTCCTCGAATCCGATGGCGATTCAGTGAAACTCCATCTTTTCGTGAGAAACATCGTAGATAGTAATGTTCTTTTTATACGTCTCTTGTTCTGTCTTCAGTATAGCTTGGTGGAACTATTTTTGAAAAAAAAAAAAAAAAAAAAAAAAAAAAAAAAAAAAAAAAAAA